TCATAATGAAACAGACAATCAGACCATGTCTGTTCAGGTGAATTGACCACTGGAGGTAAAAGCTGAAACATCTCCACTGACTTCACTGAAACACTGGTCCTCATGAACAAACCGCAGCATCGGAACAATTCTAAGGTCAATTCTAAGGTCAATTCTAAGGTCAATTCTAAGGTCAAGGTCTTGGTCAGAGTGAAGGGACTCCTGCCTTGAGGTGCTGAACTTTTCCAGACAGAGAGGAGTGGAGGCCCATGTGCTGGAAGAGAGACGGCTTGTACCTCTGCCTGAGCTGCGCCCTCTGTTGATCACAGTGTGCCTGCGTCACACACACACACACACACACACACACACACACAGGTGGAACAGTGTTTGTGTGACTAAAACATGCAGAGACTGTTTGATGTTTCCAGACAACATGAGTCAAAATAGCAGTGAATATCTGTGTGGTTGGTGATGACCCTGGTGCCTCCCCCCACCTCCCTCCAGGGGGCGACATTGTTGAAGATTAAGGGGCTAGGAACATGATGCCCACTACAAACTGGGCCAGACGGTCGTACCAAGGCAACAGACTGACCACATCTTTCTCAGGGTGGCACACTTTCACCCACAGCATGTAATCCAACAACCAATCGATGGGCTTGTCTTTATGGAACATCAGGAAGAAGTCAACAATCACAGGCAGGTCACGAGTCCGAAACAACTTCCCTGTGACAGAGAGAGAGGTGAGGCGTCAAAACAGGAAGTTAGTTTTGAACCTTGGTACCAGGTGAACACACCTATAAAGCCTAGTTGGGAGAACTCCAGGTAAAGCCATGGTTTAGATGCTTCCTGAGTGACGTAGGTCTTCATCTGCTGATAATAATCTTCTTTAGCAACAATGTCGTCCTCCAGCTTCATAGAAAAAACAAACAAACAGACAACAGAAATACAGACGGACAGACATCGTTAAGGAAACAGCTCAGTTTCATCGGACAGACATCGTTAAGGAAACAGCTCTTTAGTTATTACATAACTTATCCAAATATTTCTTCATGAGACTAAATATCTTTGACAGAAACGTTTTTCTTGTTCCATGTCAATCAACTGAAACACGTCAACAGTTCAAGTGAAAACGTTTACAGCAGGTAAAATAAAGGTTTATAAATTGTTTCTCGTCTTCACGCGGACAAACCAACTGACGGACTCATCGTGTCCAGTCACTGTTCGAGTCGAGCAGAACGCGTTTTGTCCGGAAAACACCAGCGGTTTCTACCATCTCTAAATATTGAAGCTTTTCTTCTTCCTTTTCTTTTCTGTTTTCAATACTTTATATTAATTCACGTTCACGTAAAAGGAAAAACAAAATCGTTCATCAATTATGATTGTTTCCGCTTCCCCCGCCCCCCATTCCTCTCATACGATGGCCTATTCCGTCTCACTGCGCATGTGCAGACATATTCTTCAGGGAGGTTGTCGAAAAACAAAATGTTTGGCGCCGTTGAACTGAATGAACGGAGTTTTCCGGAAGCAGGAAAAAGTCGAGACATGCAACAAGGAGAGAGATTTTATCTCTACTACAAAAGGTGGTGTTTACGTCTGTGACTTTAGAAGTAGAAGCCCAGGAACGGACACTGTCGGTGTTTGTGCCAGTTAGTGTGTGTCAGTGTGGTTGGAATGTGACAAAAGCACAGACTCAGGAAAATGTCCTCCATACTGAAAAGTGAAAGTAAGAGAAATTCAGGAGGTAAGACAAAGAAGACAAAGACATGAAAAAACAAACGTAAAATTAAAGAAAGACTATGTAAAAGTAATAAACGACTTTGTCTCTCCTTTTTCTGCAATACATTTATGAAAATTGGAAACGATACAGAGAAGACTGGAGTTTTGTTTTCTCAGGGTTTTTTTTTTGACATGCAGTATTTGAACAACAGTGGGCGCTCATGAGGAGCTGTTGTCTGGAAAGCTGACAATGAACTGCATTTTGCACAGTTCCTACATGAAGTTGTTGATTGTAACTGTGTGTTTTACAGTTTTACACCTACTGTTAATGTTAAGTGTTCTGTTAAAAATCTAAAATCTTCTTCTTCTTTAGTGAAACAAGACAGAGCAGGATCTCCAGACTGAACTTGCTGCTGGTTCTAGATGGTTGAAGATCTTGGGTGAAGGTAGGGATACACCTGACTGACACTAGAGCAGTTTAGGTTCTGTCTTTGACCTTTGACCTCGGTCTCTGTCACAGAGAGCTCCCTTTAAGTCTGTGTCATATAAAGTTATCAGTTCAGTATCAAATGCTGGTTTAATTATTTACAAGTTACAGTCGGGCGGAGGTCAGTAAAACACTAATATAAAGACAGAGTAAGTGTTGAAATACCTCCCCCCCCCACACACACACACACACAGTGACCTCATGTGTGGACTGTGATACTCACCTGAACATAGTAGGCTCCTCTGTCCTTGGAATACATCATAAGGAAACTGAAGTCTAGAATTTGCTTGGTTCTCCATCTGTGAACAAAAATCTCTTGTTGTTTTGTGTTTGTTCAAGTACTATATGTCTGTCTTGACATCCATCTAACTTTAAATCTATATATTTTAAATAATCATTTTTGAATGAGTTTGTTGAAAGTGTCCAGGTGGATTATTGATGCCACGTTCATGAATATTCATAGAATGACATAGAATGACCCAGGATAAGTCGACCAACAGCGATACCTCACTCTGTCCTGGGAGTCGCCCAGGGTCTCCGTCAGGTGGCTCAGGTCAGGGTAGTATTCCTCTGGAGGGGAGATGACCTCCAGCAACCCTGAGCGAACCTCTCTGGGAAAACTACAAAGACAGAGAGTTCGAGTCAGATAAAGAACGGCGTTTGGTCCAGGACCTCATCCCAGTCACCAAGAACTTTATTTTGAAATGACAGTGGGGCCTCGGGATACCAGTCTGATCAGTTCCACATCAGCACTGGTGTGTGGACCCACTGGTGTGTGGACCCACTGGTGTGTGGACCCACTGGTGTGTGGACCCACTGGTGTGTGGACCCACTGGTGTGTGGACCCACTGGTGTGTGTAACTCAGCTGAAGAGAGAACCTGTGACTGAGAGCTGTTGGTGGGAAATCTTTCATAATAGAATATAGTTTTGTGCTGAATGTCATAGTGGAACCACATGACAGGACCGTGGGGGGGGGGGCCTCTGACCTCTGACCTCAGGGCCTGAAAGTTTGGTTTTTCAGGACATTAGTTAGGGTAAAACAGAGGAGAACACACTTACTTTGTCCCGATGGTCTGAGCGACAGCGTTCACGTACTGAAAGTCCACCTGAGGAGACGGAGAGACAAAAAATATATACTATATATGTATATACTGTATATATGTATATACTGTATATGTGTATAAATATATAGTATTTCTTTTTGTGTCTGTTTGTGTCTGGCTGATGTGTCAGCGTTCTGTCCACGATGCAGTGGTCATTTCACTGGGCTTTTTAGAACCGTTAATTTGAAGGACTAATCAGTGACCAGGAACCAGGTTTTGGGTTCAGGGTCTTTGACTACAACCGTCTGTCCTCATAATGTTTTTTTTTTAAACTAGGTCTTGACCCGTGGTCAGTCTTGATCATGTTATAGTCCCTGCTCCTCAGGTCAGAGGTCGAGCCTTGACTGAGAGTCGCTTAGATGGCACATTTAAACAATAAAATAATAAAAAAGGTATGACGTAAGTAACTAAAATTAACTTTATGTTGTCACAGCAACCGTCACACAACAAGTCCTTTAATGACACACACACACACAATCTGCACACAGTCGTCAAACAGGACAGACAGGGATTACCAGTTTGTTGTTCTGATTCAGGCATTAACCGTGCAGTACAACTAACTAGTATCAAGTTTAATATTTACTACTTTGATATCATTCGTAGAATTCTCTTCACTTTGACCTTTTCCCAACACCATCCTGAGACAGAGACTGAGTCATCATCATCATCATCATCAACAGCATCATCATCATCACCCCCATCATCATCATCACCACCACCATCATCATCATCCCCATCACCACCATCCCCATCATCATCAGCCCCTTCATCATCATCAACAGCATCATCATCATCACAATCATCACCATCATCAACATCATCATCATCACCACCACCATCTTCATCATCATCACCACCACCATCTTCATCATCATCATCAACATCATCACCATCCTCATCACCATCATCAACATCATCACCATCCTCATCACCATCAACATCATCATCATCACAATCATCACCATCATCATCATCAACATCATCATCATCACCCCCATCATCATCACCATCATCATCACAATCATCACCATCATCATCATCCTCATCCCCATCATCATCATCACATCACCATCATCATCATCACACCACCATCATCATCATCCTCATCATCAACACCCACCTCCCTCACCTCACCACCATCACCATCAACATCATCATCCCCATCATCATCAACATCATCACCATCCTCATCACCATCATCATCGTCATCATCATCATCACACAGATCCTTGCTTTGACAGACAGTCATCATGACTACAGTTGTCACACAACCAACATTTTGTCACTGCTACCAGTACCAACAGGTGTTTTGGTACTGTTTGATACTTTTCCAGATAAAGGGAGAACACAATTTTCTCTCTTTACTCACTCGCCTTGGCTCACACGCTGATGTCGTCGCTGCCAGCGGATAAAAATTTAAAAAAGTACTGGTCATTTTTCAAACTATAGTATAGTTTTAAATGGTACTGCAGTTCCTATTCAGTACCGATGTACTGGGTACTGCACAAGGCTACTCTGGAGAAAACCAAGGAAGTTATTTGTAATATAAAGTTGACCTGTAGGGGAGCCAGTGTGAGGTTGTTGGCGATGACAGACCTTGACAGGTCGGAGTGTGTGTGTGTGTGTGTGTGTGTGTGTGTTACCTCGGCGACTAAGACAACGATGAGGAGGTCTTGATGTTGTGAAGAAGAGAGTCCGTAGAGCAGAGAGTTGATGGTGTTGATCAGGTAGCTCTGTTTGTCTCTCTTCACTGTAGGGACTCCCAGTACGACGGACACTGAAAGACACACACACACACACACACACCCACACCCACACACACACAGAGTTCCATTTTTCTGATCAATCGCAGCAGCTTCTTCTTCTTCTTGTGTGCTAAGATGCTCCGTACCTCCACGGCGTCCCTGTCCCAGCACTGTTTTGGGGACGAGGCTGTTTGGACTGTGTCTGAGGTGGGGCAGGTGGAGGTAGATGCTGAGGTCCAGGTGCAGCTGCTGGGCCTGATCACCCCCCCCGATCACCGGCTGCTGTGTTTTGTCTGTCCACAGGGGGGCACACAGGTATAAATGAGGTTTCATCCCAAGGAACAATAAGACCAAATAAGAAAAACCCTTTCAAATATATATTTCTATTTAAACCTATGTTTAGTCCCAGGTAGGTCTCAGGGGACCGTCCTCTCCTCTACCTGTGGGGGTGCTGGACCGCTCAGTGCTGCTGACCTTGGACTGAGCTCTCAGATGCTCCAGGATACTGCTGAGGTTCCTGGACACCTGCCCCCCCAACTCCTCAGCTGCCAGGAGTCTCTGATACAGCAGCTGCAGGTCCGACAGCGCTGTGGCCCCCGGGGCCCCCGTGGCCCCCCAGGACAGACCCAAAGCAGAACCTGCTGAAACACGAGTCACATTAGTCTCCACTGTATCTGCTGTGAGGTCACACTCATGTCATGTTAGCAGCCAATTAGAAACCAAAGAGAAGAGAAGAGTTACAGCCTCAGAGACTCAGACAGAACCAGCTGCTGGTGATCAGGAGGTGACCCTTAAATCCAGCGACAACGTCTGCAACAACCAGGAAGTGGCTGAAGACAGGGGGCGCTAGTTTTAAACCAAAGTGGTTCTTTCCTTCTTGCTTTCTTTCCTGTTGCTTTTATCTAGCCCAGATCACTGATGCAGCCCAGATCAGTGATGCAGCCCAGATCACTGATGCAGCCCAGATCAGTGATGCAGCCCAGATCACTTCTTCTGATGTTTAAATCAGAAGAAAACCCAAACAAGTGTTGACATCAGGCTCAGAAAAGGACCATGGAGAGCAGACAGTGGTCACCCTCGGTCCCTGAGCCCATTATTCCGCCTCACTCGTACTACAGTGGTATGACATCACTCTATTGTTATTATCAATAACAATAATTATAACATGGAATGTTAATGTGGGTGTGGTGGCTTTTATTGAGTGGCAGTGGTGGCTTAGTGGTTAAGAAAGTGGACTTGGGTCCAGCAGCTGCCAAGTTACCACTGAGGTGCTCTGAGCAAGGCACCGTCCCCACACACTGCTCCAGCTGCCCACTGCTCACCTTGGTGATAGGTTAAAAGCAGTGGTCACATGTGACTGTGCGCAGTGGTGCAGTGGTGCAGTGCTGTGTCACAATGACCAGTAGTTCACGTTCTCTGGGTTAGTAGAGACGGTCAGAACGCCTACAGGTTTGACTTGACTTGTTGGAGCGTGTAAATGTAAACATCCCTCAACTTTAGAACCTCCACCAAACTCCCAGTGACCACGGCTGTGGCTGATGCTGAGCCGCCCACTCACCTGCATCATGGCGTTTGGATTTGATCCAGGTGGCTGTGAGGAAACACAGGCAGAGCAGCAGCAGACACCTGAGGCGATCTGAGTTCCACCGCATCTCAGTTCATTTCTCCCTGATGGTTTGACTTCAACTGGCCACGACAGCTTGGTGTGAAGTGGAGCAGCCAGAGGCGGAGCCTGTGACTCCGCCTCTGGCTGCTCTGTGACGGCCCTGTTCACCTGCTTCACTACCACACCCACACAGGATTGAACAAGAGCGACACCTGCTGCTACACCGAGACATTGTTGTTGTTTTTGATAACATACAGTAATAGACTGGAATACTAGAATGTAACTGCAGTACTACGATACTGTGAGGGACTTAGACTATTATGAATCTGGTACCATGTATCAACACAGTACACAGGTCACACCCCATGTCTCTCTCTCTCTCTCTCTCGCTCACTCTTCCTTGTCTCTGTCTCTCCTTTTTCTCCCTCCTTACCCCCAATTTCTTTGTTTGTGCCAGTGTTTTACACACGATGATGATGACGGTGATGATGATGATGATGATGAAGATGA